CGACACTGAAAAAAATAAATTTATGAAATGCTCGACCATTTATTTTTGACAACTAAAATGAATCGTTCTAGAATATATGCTAGAGAAAAGAAGTCCCTCTAACATATATTCTAGAATCACTAGAATAAATTCTTTTTCAGGTTCTATTTTGCTGTTGTCGCTAGGCTGGGAAAGCAGCAATTTTATTGTCAGTAAGAGAAAATCGAATATGTTGTTATTAAAAGAAACTAATATGGATATAAGTAAAACTTGGATTCATTGCATTGATGGAAATCTTCCCTCTCAGTACGGAGTAAACTTGAAGAATGAAGTGTGTAAATTATCTCTGAAAAAAATTAAATCATTTCATATCTCAAATATTAAATGCAAAATTTTGCTTCATGAATATCTTGCAATTATAAGTTTTTCTTTTTTATTTCTTTTAAATACTTTTTGATTTTATTATCAGTTACTAATATGGTTGTACTTAGAAATGTTCAAAATTACCATGATATTCAAGCTCATCTTACCTTATGCCACATCCAATTCCTATAGCATTGTAAATTACAGACTTCCATATGCTACCTACAAGAAAATGCTTATTTAGAAATACTTAATTTAAAAAAAAAAAACTTAACTTCTTGATGTCAACTTTAAGTATTCACCATTTATCAGGATAAAAATAAGACAATTTCATTGACTGATGCCAATAGTCTTGTGGATGATATAACCTCTGGATCCAAATGTATGTGTTCAACAATAAAGAATAGCCAGGATTCCATTACAATGGATAAATTCGGTAAGCAATTTAATATCAGTTAAAAGTGGAAAAGTTTATATTGTTTGACAGTGCAACAATTTTAAAACAGACTATAACCCATCATTTCCTACTGTATTTTCATTAGACGTTTGTATCAAATATTAACATCAATGTTTTTTACTTTGTACGGCATCCGATATTTGAGAAATTCTCTCTAAAAATGGTAATATTGCCGCAATATATTTGCTGTCAATTAACTATTAATTTAGATTGTGAAATGCTTTGGTACGGAAAAAGGAATTGTTCAATTAGAAGTGATGATGTTTCCAAGATTTTAAATTCTAAAAGTCGTTTGTTTAACCATAGCAATATTAATGCAATGGAAACGGTAAGTATAAACCTTAATCGCTCTTTTGATTTTTATATTTTAATTGTAGTTAATTATTTTTAAATGGATAATTATTATTGATGAGCCCATATCTCATTATTCTTAAGAGCTTGTTATATTCGTATCACACCGGGATATTATTGATTAATTATTATTTTTGTAACGAAATACTGATCATTTTGCAAAATTATTCTGAGATAATTATGAAATTTTAAATATACTGAATATTTTTTCTTTAAATTTAAATACATTTTTCTTTAAATTTTAAATAATATTCAAATTTTAAATATTTTTTGTCTTATAGACAAGAGAAGAAATCCAAGATTGTTTGATGATTCGTAGTAAATTTCGCTTGCCCCCATTTTCGCTTAACAGAATGCTCGCATTTAATAATTTCCCTGAAACTCCAATAAATTATACTGCTATATCAGATAATAAGGTATTTTATCTGTTTATTTTCAACTTTTTGATAATTAGTTTCTAAAAATTTGTGTTCAGAAATTGTAAGTTTTAAAACTTGTCATCTTTTATATCTTGGAACTTTTTATATCTCTCATAAACGATAGGGAATGACTCTGTTAGCATTAGTTCCTACGAAATGGTCAAAGCTACAAGAATTCTTCAAAATAGATCCTAGTCGAAAGGAAGAAAGTAGTCTTCCATGTCGATCATTACAAAAATCAATCATTTATTGGAAAGATTTCGATATTATCACTTCAAATTCAAGCTTAATAGGTATGTAGCATTGCTAAAAGTGATTATTTTATTTCACACAAGTTCAGTTTTTGTGTTGCTACGATTTATGGAATCTAACGGGAACTGAATGCACAGAACCTTCAAAGAAATCGTATTCAGAAACAGCGGAAGCTCAACCTTTCAGCTTACCCGGTCAGTCCATATCACTCCCATGCACTCCTGATCTCTTTTTAAAGGTCTGTCACGATTTCATATGCTTTCATAATAGTTTGAAACTTAATTTTCAATTTATAAGACATGATGTTTTATAATATATCCAATTTATCTCAATTTGGATTTCATTTATTTAAGTCAGTTCAACAAATTATTTCTTTCCAGTCTCATTTATTGCGAGCTGATCAAGCTGTCAGTATTGTCGAACTATCGATCACAAAATTTTTAGGATAATTGTAGTAATCTTTAATTCTATACCAAACTCATTCAATCGAATTAAAAGGGGTATTATAATATAAAATATTGGAGAACGATTATGATAAGAATTTGCAGGACATATTTGTTGGTGATGAATTCATTGAGCACAACTGTGATTCATCATTTGTTAAACGGGAACATCGAATCAATAATTGCTTCTATTGTTCATGGCCTGAGGAGTATTTCGGCAGCAGAAGTTTGTTCATTGAATTTCAAACTTCATTTTTTAAACTTCTTGAACTACTGGAGAAATCCTTCATAAATGCTTTACATATAATTAATTTGTTTACTTGTTGTTTGAATATTTTGTCATTATTTATTCATTTGGTATACTTTTTAACTTGATCAATTTGTTTTAAAGTATTTATAGAAATTCCATTGAATAGCTGAAATCTCTGTCCCTTTTGCCATTATCAAAAAGTCATCTGTCAAGAAAATGCTTATACTGTATTCTTTAAGTATGAGAAATGAGAAATTTTTATATGTGGCTGTTTATATGATTATTAAGTGATCTCTGAAGAATCCACCATAACTAATGCATATGACCTCTAATTTGTTTAAACTTTTGGAAAAAACTAAATTTCGATTTCTGAATCAGATAAAATATAAGTACGGATAAGGATTTTCTTTTTCCAAGTAACATTTTATCAGTTTTGTGCTTACAGGTATCTCAGAAATTGAGGTATCAACTGAAGCAAGAGACCAAATAATATCAATGTTTTTATTACAAGGGTCAAAATGTTCAGTGAATTCAAAGAAGTTGCTCAAGTAAGTGTGCAGTTTCTTTTTGATTTTTATTTTCGGACTCTTTTGAAAGGATAATTGATTGCTGAAGTTAATTCTAATGACACTTGGCGTGATTTTCCGGTGTAAGAATTATTGCAAAGTGTTTAATTTGAAAAAAAGAGGTTCACACTTTGCTTCCACATTTTGTCATTCATTGAAATGTTCCCATCCATTCCTCAGAACAAAAGTATGGAAATGCAGGTATGATTTGCGAGTGAGAATAATTATATAAATAAGTCTTCACCTGTTTTATTGTCCAGTTTCGTGAATTAGAAGTTGAAAGTGTCTGGAATTCTGAAATTCTTCACCGAAGAGAACCGAAGTATTTTATTTTCTTGATTCAATCGTTGCTGATATCAAAATAAAGTTTTTTTCAGAAATTTTTTACTCAACCGCAAAATTTTCGCCTCGCTTTGCCTTTATTCTGATATTCTGGTATTATTGGCCCAGCACAATTATAGCATTGAAGCACGACGTCTAGTTCATGAGCTGTTTACAGATGCTTTAAAGAAAGTAAATTATTTTTTCAATATTGGAAAAGTCTTTCACTTTATTTTTTAATAAAATTGTTGCCTTTTACTGACTTTTTCGTTATTATTTGACTTTTTTAAAAAAAACTTGAAGATGCTTTTGTCGATTTTTCTTTACTACACCAAAGTACGACCTGATTCTGATCTGAAAAACTTCAAGCGATTTCATTTTCAAGCATATTCTGACTTCAGACAGTTAACGATTCTGAGTGAGATTATAGTTTTGGAATCTAAAATTTTTGTCAGCTGAATTTGTTTTTAGTTTCATTGTCGTTTTAATCATTGACCTGTTATAAAGGTCAAAAATTATTATTGTTATCATTTTCAGCTCAGTTTTCGTGAACCTTATACTCTCAGAGCGTAATGGTACGTCGTTTTATCCACAAGCTGATTTCTTTGCACTACTAAGCGGTAATAACGTCTAATTTTGACAACATCTAATTTATTTGAATTTCAGAGAAAAAGAAAATTGTCTACATTAAAGTGCTCCCTTCAATACTTGTAACTGTATTGATCTAATTTCTATCAAGTTGATGATTTATTATATCATTTTTTGCGTTTTATGTTGATACGGGTTGTATTCAAAAAGCTCCTACATTACCTTTTTTCGATGAACAATTTGTCAGGTGATGCTTGTTTAGCTTTTTTCGGATGGATTATAATTAATGTGAGAAATAAGTAATTTCTTATTTTTGTTGTCACAAAAAGCAAATAGCTACAGAGGTGAAAATTACTTCATTTTCATTATAAAATGGAAAAAGATTGTATGATATACGTGAGGGATTTCTGCATTTAAATTTGAAATACTTACTAATTAATGTTTTATTGTAAATCATTGGAAACTGTCATCTTTGTGCATGTTCATTAGAAGAAAAAAAAAGTGCTCCCTTCAATACTTATATCCTACCGTAATCATAAACTTCAATTTTTAAAAAGTTAAACGAAAAAAGATTTAAAAATAATAGAATCGTCTGATTAAAATTGCAAGTGATAAATATTAGGTAACAAATACAGAATTACTCGAAGAGAAATGAAAATTTATTTCATTTGACTATTTGAATTATACATTTCTTCCGGATTTTACATAAAGTTAAAACCGGCAAGCTCATTATATAAAAGATAATGAGATATAATCAGTGAAAAAGAGAGCATTAAAAGGATTAAACAGGATTAAACATTTCTCACACTTTTAGTTAAATTAAACAAATGGCTGGCTGATTATTAACTGCCAGGAATTAAATTATAGTTAAGAAATGCAAAACATAATATAACATAACATTCGAAATGATAAAATAAATTTGAAAAATGAATTTTCATTAAATCTGATAATTTCATTAATAAAATTCAAAACATAAATAATTACTCGAAATTATAAATTACTTAAATCGCTTAAAAAGTTCAAAATTACAATTTTCAAAAAGAAAGAAGAAGATTTCAAAATTTGAGCAGAGAAAACAAATGATAGAACGAAGAACTATTATTCTTTTTCGTAATAACAAAATTTTCATTTATTGCAATTTTTTGCAAACAATATTTTAAAGCGATAATTATTGAGATTTTATAACTCCTAACAAAATGCGATAATATTACTTTTGGAAAAACTATTACCAACGAAACTGTCAGTGAGACGAAGACAACAACGATGCAAAAATGCCGTTGAAGTAAAGGCCGATCATCAAGTGAAGAAGACCTTT